AGAGAAAATGGCAAAGGAAGATGTATGCGTATGATATTCAAGAAGAAATCCCTCAAGAAATCCCGAAGAAGATAGAACGTGACTTGAAGTTTGCATGAAGCTATCTTGAAGATCAAGCATCTATGGAAAGAAAGGAGTACACCAAGTGAAACAAGAAAATAACCAAAAGTTTGTACAGATGAGATGGTAGAAGCATGAAATACTATATGTAAGGTCACAGGTTTGAATCTCACTTCCCACATATTTTAAAGAAGCCAAGTTTAATTCCATCAGTTAAAGTATGAGGCGATGGTTTGGCCGAAGGGAAGCCATATGAGGCGATGGTTTGGCCGAAGGGAAGCCATTTGCAAAGTCAAAGAGGACAAATTGGCTAAGGGATGAAGTTTCCCAAATTGGTATCTAAGGGGGGATGAAGTTTCCCAAGTTGGTATCCCGAAATTGAAATAGGGATGCAATTTCAAGGCAATTTCAATTTGAAGAGATGAGAAATAGGGATGCAATTTCAAGGCAATTTCAATTTGAAGAGATGAGATCTACAAGGCTTCAATTCAATTGGAGATATAAATTACAAGGGATGAGATTGCAAGTCCAAATCAAGTAAGGGATGAGATTTCAATTGACAAATGTAGCAATTTCAATTTGAAGAGATGAGATCTACAAGGCTTCAATTCAATTGGAGTTTCAATTGACAAATGTAGCAATTTCAATTTGAAGAGATGAGATCTACAAGGCTTCAATTCAATTGGAGATATAAATTACAAGGGATGAGATTGCAAGTCCAAATCAAGTAAGGGATAAGGGATGAGATTTCAATTGACAAATGTAGCAAGGGATAGAGATTTCATTTCCCAAAATAGCAAGGGATGAAGTTTCACAAGGGAAGAGATTTCCCAAGTCAATTGAAGAGATGGAAGAGATTTCCCAAGTCAATTGAAGTTGAAGAGATGGAAGAGATTTCCCAAGTCAATTGAAGAAATGAAGTCTGGAAGCAGAGATGAAGCCTGGAAGCAGTATACAGACCCAGACACGAGGAAAATATAAGAAGAAGTTGCAGAAGCAAAAATACTAGTCTAACTAGTAAGGGATTATATTGGAGATTATATTTTGAAGATAAAAATCCCAAGAGGCGTGATCTACACCAGATGGAGATTCATGGGACACCATTTTTGCTAAAACCTCAAGCTCAACTTGAAATCTCTGACATATCTGCAACGTTATCTTATCCTCTGACAAAAGGCTATACAGCTGGATGAAATTCAAAAATGAGAACGTTTCTCTCCAACGGAAAATATTCTCATTACCATCTATAAAAGGATGAAGATTGAAGCTGTGGAAAGCAGAAGTATAGAAATAGGAGCAAGAACGCAATAGAGCAAGAACAGAGCTAAACAGAGCTAAACAGAGCATACAAAATTCAAAGAAAGCTTTCCATCTCAGGAGCTTAAATTGATATATTCTTTGTGAGATAAACACTCAGAGTGATACAGAGCTTACAAAAGAAATATCCAAGAGTGTTAGAATCTTCATCAACTACAAGAGACTAAGAGCATCAACGCAGATCATCTACAGAGTCTCAAAGTTGGAACCAAGGCAAAACTTGTTTTTGAGCAAAACAAGGGAAAGGAGGAAAGTAACACGGAGTTGTGAAATCCTGGATTGTCACACGGAGTTGTGAGATCCGAAGCAGCAGTGTCGGAGGACATTGGGTGTGATTAGTGCGGGCTTTGTGATCAAAGCACTAGATCACGGAAGATACGTTTCTACCGGATCGTAGAAGACGGGGGGAAAGTAACGCGGAGTCGTGAAATCCTGGGAAAGTAACGCGGCGACGTGAAACCCGAAGCAGCAGTGTTGGTGTCACTGGGCGTGATTAGTGTGGGCTTGGTGATCAAAGCACTAGATCACGGAATTCATTGTATCTTGGAACCAAGAAGTGGTGGATATAGTGAATTAGCTCTTGGAGAAAAGAGCAAGTGGAGTAGGAGGATTACACCACCTCGCGAACCACTATAAATTGCCTTGTGTTCTTTACTGCTTTCTTTACTTACTGCTCTTGCTTGCTTCTCACGAAAATAATCTTGACACGATCTATACACACACCGTATCGTTTATTAATTTCCGCTGTGCACCATACTCTAACAATCTAGTTAAGAGTTTTGGTTTATCTCTGGCTTAGCAATTGTGGTACTGTGCTAAAAAGTTTGAAAGTCTATTCACCTCCCCCCCCCCCCCCTCTAGACTTTCACCTTACCACTTTTGGGATCAACAAGGGGATTAGTCAGGATGTCCGAGCGAATGTCTACCAAGAATCAGTCAGGGATTAGTCACTATGTTGGAGCATCTGTTTATGAAGAATCAGCCAGGAAATTAGTCACCGTGTTTGAGCGCCTCTCTCCCAAGAATTAACCAGGAAATTAGTCGTTGTGTCTGAGCGAGACTTTAGGCGTCTAATATTGTAAGTGTAATAAAATTTACACATTAACCCACTTAAAATTGGCTTAAATAAGTTGTGAAAAAGAGTTAGAAGTTTAGTTGCTGGATTAGTCTACGCGTCTGGAGCAGTTTACCTGGATCAGCAAAAGGATTTAATCCAAAAAACTTAAAACTCATTCAAACTCTTAAAGTCAGTAAAGATCCTTTCCAGGAGGAGATCTAAATCATTAGGAGCAGCTAAAATCAAGGATGGAAGGATGCATGAATTTTGGATCGAAGAAATCTCTTATTACCCCTATAAAATGTTACCTTACTTAGCATTTCCTTTTGCACTTTAACAAGCTTATACACTGAGATTATTCCTCCCTTTGATCTGGTTATTACTAAATTGCTACGAGTGAAGAAGGTGCCTCAACAAGTTCATGAAGTGAAGAAGATCGCCTGCACATCAAGTCCACTGGAGTAGGTTCTGGAGTAGTTGTAGTTTATGCTTTAGAGTGTAACATACTCTCCTTTTGTACTCCTATTTATCATAGTGGATTTGGGTTGATGTGAGTGGCCCCGCAGACGTAGGAGTGAGGCTCCGAACTGCGTGAACATATCCTGGTGTACGGTATATATCTTTTATTGCTTTTATGTTTTTGTTATTTATTCTGTCTAGAGTAGTCCTGGAGCTAGTCCGGCATAATAATTGAATTAAAATTAATTAGGAACCTTTATAATTTTCTTGCATTCAAGATCCACGGACCTTTTTCAATTGGTATCAGAGCCTGTGGACTTAAAATATTAGTCTAATCGATCTGGTTTACTCGTGTTTCTTGAACTCAAGATCTCGGTTTTTGTTTTTTATTCTACTTTTCTGATCAATCTTCTTTGTCTTACTGTGCATTGAGTTTTGCAAAATTGAACGACGTAGAGCATCTCCTGAATTAACAGGTGACAACTATGCGTACTGGAAGGCTCGTACCAAAATGCACTTACGAGCTCATGGGGAGATGATCTGGAGGGCAGTTCTCACTGGGTGGACTCATCCTACCAAAGATGCAGCCACTTCAGGAGCCCCTCTAGTTCTCAAACCAGAAACAGAATGGACAAATGCTGAGATGACTACTGCGAACTACAACAATAAAGCCTTAGATATTTTTTATTCCTTAATGCATGAGAGTCAGTTTACCCTTGTTACAGGTTGTGACTCTGCCAAAGACGCATGGGAGATTTTGGAAACTACCTATGAAGGAACTAACACAGTCAAGCAGTCCAAACTCCAAATGGTCCAATCTGACTTTGAAGATCTAAAAATGACAGAAGACGAATCGATAGTTGATTTTCATGCCTGTGTTCAGGAACTAGCAAATTGTGCAATCGTTCTAGGCGAACCTTTCTCTCAACCTAAACTTGTCAAAAAGATCCTGCGCTCACTCCCTCCACGATTTAGAATGAAGGTCTCGGCAATTCAAGAACATGACGGATGGGAAAACAAAACAGTAGCACAATTAATGGGAAACTTGCAAACCTATGAGATGGAAATACTCTCTGACCAATCCAGAAAGAAGAAGAACATTGCCTTTACAGTTGTAGAACATGAGTCTGTATCTGATCCAGACGAGGTAAATGATGATCCAGTTGATTTTTTAACTAAACAATTTTCGAAGCTTTTGAAACAGGTGAAACAGATGATCAACTCTCAAAATGGAAAGTTTCAAAACCAGAAGGGATCAACTCTCAAAATGGAAAGTTTCAAAACCAGAAGGGATTAACATCAAATGCATCACATAACAACCAAAAAACTGGACCATCTAATATTCGTTCATCACGAAACAATCAGTCTAGGGAGAAATCAAGTGGAAAAGGCATTAGGTGTTATGAATGTGAAGGTTTCGGCCATGTTCGAGCAGAATGCGCAACATACCTAAGGCGTAAGAAGTCGATTAAGGCAGCTCTAACCTGGAGTGATGATGACGAACCTGAACCTAATCCTGATCCAGGATATGATCTAGAAGAAATCTCTGGTAACCTTGTGGCATTCACTGCAATAGCCAACATGAAGTCTGAACTAAAAGATGAAGTAGACTCAAAAGCTGGAGAATATGTGTCGACTGAAGACCATGATTCACCTGTTCCCTCATTTGAAGTAAAATATAAAAGTTGTATGCAAAATGGGAAATTCTTGTAAAAGTAAATAGAACCCTGTCTAGTCAAGTTGGTAATCTAGAGAATGCTAGGAAAGTGTATAAAAATCAAATTACTGAGAGGGACAACATCATCAAAGGCGGGCTCAAACGCGAAGAAGAACTCAAACAAGAGTTGGATATGCTCATAAGGAGAATTAAAATGATGAACAACACTTCCACCCTCAACCAAATCTTGGATTCTGGAAGGACAACATCTACCAAGTATGGTTTAGGTTTTTCTGGTGGAAAAGACAAGGTTGTGACAGTTTTTGTAAAAGCTTCTGACTCTGACTCAGCACCTGGATCAGATTTGGATACTCTAGAAACTAGTACAGCGCGGGAAAGGTTTGGTAATGTAAGACGTGACAATCCAAAATTTAAATTCTATAACCCTATTTGTCATTATTGCAAGGTTCGTGGCCATACCAGACCTAAGTGTTTTTACTTTTATAAAGATCAAAGGCATGAGAAGTACACCCACAAACACATTGCACCGTTTGTAAAACAAGTGTGGGTTAGGAAAGCAGATTTTATATCCCAGTTAACTCCAATCGCATCTCAAGGGAAACTAGCAGAAGTCAGAGGAATTGGATTAGAGAATCTGCAAATACAAGATTGAAGGGTCATCATCGAAATAAAACCAGGTATTTTGTAATTTAATAAGTTTTTTTTAAAAAAAATTTGTTTTGCTCACTGTTCCAGATCCAGAAGTATTGCTGGCATAGTCCAGAAAATATTAATCCTAATTCTCCGATTGCTGACTTGGAGAGTTCAAAAACTCTGAAATTGTGGTATCTTTCTCTACTCTCTCCTATACTAGTGGTAGTATTTCCTCAATACCAAGTTCAATTCCTATCTTTTTTGTATTTCTCGTTGCCTTTTGCACTGCATAGTTCTATTTTGCCTGGATTATCTTGTTTTGTCTCCTTTGACTGGTTCTATATGTTCATTAAATGTCAATCTATGGTTTAATCGATTTTGTGTGATTGTACCCTCGAATTTATTTGTTCCAGTTATGCTTGTTGCTAATCTTGTCCAGTCTGGTTCTGTTTCAGTTTTTGCTCCAGAATTCTCTGATCTATTACTATCTCTGCTTTTGTCTCTACTCCAGGAACCTCTAATCCAGTGTCTTTATCTACATATTCCTCTGCTTTGATATCTAAACTTGAAAATGCTTTTTTTTTTTTTTAAATGTGATATGTAATTATTTCTGTGTGTTATGTGTTTAGTTTGGTCATGACCATGTCTGCTTCTTTTTTTTTTTTTTTTTTTTTTTTTTTTTTTTTTTTGTACTTTCTGTGCTACGTGTAATGAATTTGTGCCTGAATATGCTTTATATGAATCTGTGCCTATATGAATTTGTGTCTAAATTTGCTTTACCTTGTTGTGTCTGGTTTATTTGCTAATATGTTTATTTTGTTTGACCCAATATGAATTTTCTTGATTTGTTGTTTTGTTGAGTTGTTTGCAAGTTGATGTGCCTTGTTCTGGGTCTCTTGTTTCTTTTTAGCTTGTGCAGGCTCATATGGCAAATTCTTTCTGACAAAGCAAAAGGAATCTTGCTCTAAGCTATGATGTTTCTTTTTGACAAACAGTCAATATACTAATTGAGGGGGAGCATACTTATCTGGATTATCTTTATTTGGATTATCCTATTATTCGGATTATCTCACATGGATTATCATATTATCTGGATCATCATATTATTTGGATTATCTTATATATTTGGTTTTTCATAATATTGGAATATAATATTTGGATTCCTCGGTCACCCGTCAGTCTCATTCCACTATGATGATCACCTTTGTCAATCTATTGGACAAAAAGGGGGAGTAATAATTTAGGGGGAGAGCCTCTTGGACGTCGTTTGATAAATTGGATTATCTCTACGTGGTGAAATCCGCTGGCCCTTATTTGACAAAAAATGGGGAGTATCAAGTTGAGGGGGAGTATTATTCTTTGGCAAGATCTCTGTTAAAAGAAGTGTGTGTTTTGAAGCACTACTCCTGGCTGTTGACTAATCCATCTCTTGTGTCTATTTTTTTGTAAGCAAATTTACTCATCTGGCAAACTATGTTTTTTTATAGGCCGTTGGGATATTTTGGTGGTCTTTAGTTTTTTTTTTTTTTTTTTTTTTTTTTTTTTTTGTCAACTAATAGCCAAAGGGGGAGATTGTAAGTGTAACAAAATGTTACACATTAACCCACTTAAAATTGGCTTAAATAAGTTGTCAAAAAGAGTTAGAAGTTTAGTTGCTGGATTAGTCTACGCGTTTGGAGCAGTTTACCTGGATCAGCAAAAGGATTTAATCCAAAAGACTTAAAACTCATTCAAACTCTTAAAGTTGAGCAAATTACCAAAATGGTCCCTTGACTATGTCGATTTCAACATTTTAGTCCTACTCATTTTGATTTCTCTAATCAAATCCTTCGACTGTCAAAATTTTAACCATTTTAATCCTCCGGTGACTTGGATGACATATTTTGAGGGATATAATTGGAAGTTCACTATATTAGTCGCGTTCACCGGCTATTTGTTCGTTCCGGTGTGTGTTTTGGCCGGAAAAGGGAGAAGACTGCAACTCATTCGCCGGAGCCGTCGGTTTCTCTCACTCTTGGCTCGCAAGACACCTCTGATGAGGTTCAAAGGCCTGGGCAGTCTCCTTGGCAGGTTTGTTGGCCGCTTCCCGGGCATGAAGGCTATGATTTCGGAAATGATGCAGCTGTAATCGGCGAGGAAAACGAGGAAGTTCATCATGTACCGAGTCAGTGGATGGATTGTGCCGCCGGGAGATGGTTTTGTGAAATCTTTCTGTATCGCCGCCTCAAACTCTGACAACATTGCTCTAACGGCGTCGCCTAACTTTGACACTGACGGTGCAGCCTGAGACTTCATGGCCGCAGTAGAATCGAAGCTGAAAATCGATTCAATTTCCGGCGAGAGGTCCGAAAATGCATCGTAAAGGTCCAAATAGCGAAACATCTTCTCGAAATCGCCGTCGATTCAAGGAAACCTAACAAATTGATAGCACCGTCTTTAGAGATTTCGGCAAAACACGATTCTCTGATGTGATCGAATGCCGAGAAGACTTCATCGCAGAGAATTCTCTCACCGAGGAAAAGAGTTCTCACCGCGATTTTGATACCGCAGCGCCAAATATTACTATTCAGAGGGAATAATTGCGAAGTTACTAAACTACCCTTACCATCGCCGGAAGTTGGCCATCCAAGTCACCGGAGGACTAAAATGGTTAAAATGTTGATAGTCGGAGGATTTAATTAGAGAAATCAAAATGAGTAGGACTAAAATGTTGAAATCGACATAGTCGAGGGACCATTTTGGTAATTTGCTCTCTTAAAGTTAGTAAAGATCCTATCGAGGAGGAGTGTAAGTTAATCCTAAAACATAAGATCTTCAGAACACATGCCTTTCACATACTGTATTTAAATAGCATTCTGGGAACATACCTGGCTCCATTTTTTTCCTGTAGTTGCTTGAGTTAGAAACTTGGTTTCTCCCTCCAGACCTTTAACATTCACTTAATCTAATTCTCTGATTGAGAGAGTTTTTTAGTTTTTACAGAGGTTGGGGAGAGGACCAGAGTCTCAGAATGAAATATAAATAATAATACGTTCCATCAACGTAAACCTGATGATATGCAGTTGAAACTGCAATCTTATCTTCTTAACTAGCCAATCAGAGGATTATCTCATTATTAAATCATAAATAGATATTTAATTATGAGCCACAATAAAACATACTGAACCATAGAATAATAATAATAATAATAATTATTCTAACATTCTCCCACTTGGCTCATAAGTCATAAATTTAATAATGAACTTGAAACATAATATGCATAGTATAAATTAATTCCTTTGTTATATTGGTCAGAACATAAGTCATCGTTAAGTTAGAAATTAATAAGAATCATGGCGGTAATACGTCACTTATTTAACGCAGTCCCTTCCATGCATCACAATATTAATTTCAAACTCAATATGATTCATGATGAACTTTTCATAATGGTCCACGATAATGTCTTTGTCAAAGACAAATCCTGTTTATATTAACATAATAAAACATTCATGTATATATACTTCATAAACTAAACAGGATACTTTAATACAGAAACGAAACTATATTGAGCTCTAAGTATCAAATATTTCAAAACACAACCTTAACATAACGTTAACCGTTTTCAATAACGCCCATTCTTTCAACATGCTCACGAAACGCCTTCAGTGGCAATGCTTTAGTTAATGGGTCTGCAATCATTAATCTAGTGCTTACGTGTTCAATTGATATCCTTCGTTCCCGAACATCTTCTTTAACGGCAAGATACTTCAGATCAATATGTTTAGCACCACTAGTATACTTGTCGTTTTTAGAAAAGAAGACTGCTGCGGCATTATCACAATAAATTTTCAGCGGCTTGGCAATACTGTCGACAATTCCAAGTCCCGAAATAAAATTTCGCAGCCATAATCCATGATTTGTGGCCATAAAACATGCCACAAACTCAGCTTCCATAGTGGATGCAGCAATGACAGTCTGCTTCGCACTTTTCCAAGAAATAGCTCCCTCGGCTCAAAGGAATAGATAACCAAATGTGGACTTCCTTGTGTCCAAACACCCGGCAAAATCTGAATCTGTGTATCCTATCACCTCAAGGTGATCAGATCGCTTATAAGTGAGCATGTGCTCCTTTGTACCTTGCAAGTACCTTAATACCTTCTTTGCAGCCTTCCAGTGATCCATACCAGGATTACTTTGATAACGACCAAACATCCCAACAGCAAAGCTAATGTCTGGTCGGGTACATGTTTGAGCATACATCAAACTCCCAACGACAGATGCATAAGGAATATTTTCCATTTCTTTACGCTCCAATTCATTTTTAGGGCATTGCATAAGGCTGAACTTATCTCCCTTCTGAATTGGAGCAATTGATGCAGAGCATTTTTCCATTCTAAATCTTTCTAAGACTTTGTTAATATATGTTCTCTGAGACAATCCTAACACTCCTTGTGATCTATTACGAAATATTTCAATTCCAATCACAAAGGATGCCTCACCCATATCTTTCATTTCAAAGTGCTTAGAAAGAAATTGCTTGGTCTCATGCATTAAACCAAGATCATTAGTAGCAAGCAAAATGTCATCGACATACAGAATCAAAAATATAAACTTGCTCCCACTGACCTTCAGATATATACACTGATCAACGGTGTTTTCCTTAAATCGAAAGGTCGTTACAGTATCATTAAACTTAAGATACCATTGTCGGGAAGCTTGTCTACGGCCATATATCGATCTGTTAAGTTTACACACCATGTGTTCCTTTCCTTCAATTGAAAAACCCTCAGGTTGGTTCATGTAAATTTCTTCTTCCAAATTTCCATTCAGAAAGGCGGTTTTCACATCCATCTGTTGTAGCTCTAAGTCATAATGAGCTACTAATGCCATAATTATTCTAAATGAATCTTTTTTCGAAACAGGTGAAAATGTTTCATTAAAATCAATACCATCCTTTTGAGTAAAACCTTTGGCAACAAGTCTGGCCTT